TCAGTAAAGTGCTGTCGTCTATTGAATTGAGCGCACATTAACTTTTCCCGAGATACAGTAGGGTTTGACAAAGAGATGAAGCCGAAATAAACGTCTCCCGATATATATTCGGGTATAACAATACGATGCACTCAAAAAAAAAAAAAAAAAAAAAAAAAAAAAAAAAAAAAAATTACCCCGAGTAATACTCGGGCGTGACATTTTCGAATCTCGGGCATGACAGTTAAAAGGTTAAGGGAAACTGGCTCGTATACACGTTACATATGGGGAAAACCACGAAAACGCCCATGCAGCCTAACCTCGGACCGAACTACCAGTGTTCAGCGACTTTATCGCTCGGCCGCTGGTGGGCTTGATATTGAAGGACTCGAATGTACCTTCTGTAATTTTTTTTTAAGTAGATTCAAATGCGGTGACAATATTGATCCTACAAATTCAGATTTCAGAGACTAAATATTTAACGCAGTTACATGATAAAGCTCATGATTTCTAACGACAAATGCACCTTAAGTTTGGGCTGTTATGAAGTATAAAAGTTTCATGTACTGCATTGAATAAAAAATAATTCAGATAATTTTTTTATCAGAGCAATTGGAATTGATTTCATTAATTTCTACGTTTTGATATTCAGTGGAAAGAAAAGATTTTTATGTTTTTGAAGAAGAGATGTGTATCCTGTAATAACAAAGTCGAGAAGATCACCGACTCTTATTCAGGATACAGCTGTGTCTTTTTTGCGAATATAAATAAAGGATGCGTGTTGATTATAAAATATGCTTTTGCTTTAAATAAGGCTTACAAACTGCAGAATTCATGAAAAATTTGACAGAAATAAATACCTTATAATTTCATAACCGTAGATGATTGTTTTGGAGAGATCTATTTGGTATGTATGTTATACATTAATTTGTGTTTTCTATGTGTGTAAAATGTGTATGCGAATTTGTTGTTTTTAAATAAAAATATGTAATTTTTTGAAATAATGAATTATCTAAAATTTAATTATCTTGGTGTTTACATTAAAAATATGAAGCTGTTGATGAAACGAGATAGTGTCCCAACCTCACATCCATGTATGATAATACAAGTTATAAAAAAATTATGAATTACATTGCATAGTATGGTAAAACCTGGCTTAGCTGAGATCCTACAATATTTCGACTCGCTTTCGGATCCCTGCCAGAAAGATGGGCATTTTTCATAATTTTCCTTATACATAACATGAATACTAGCCATTTTCCCTTAGAAAGTCGTCCGCGAAGGAATCCCTCAATAATAATTTAGCCGCTGCGTACTTTGTTGCAATCGAATAAGATGTAACTCCGACAATAAATTATTGTGATATATTAAATTTTCTTTGCGCCTATCATAATGCTTGAAAACTTTTTTTACATTTTTACCGAGCTTGAAAATCGTTGCCTTTTTTTCCATTATGTACACAAACATACTAACAGATTTAGCAGTTCTAATATTTCAGGCCTTTTTTATTTAGAAAAGGAGAGCTGAACTCACTGCCTACGGCATTCAGCGATTATGTAATGTTATGATTTTAAAAATTATAATTTAGTTGAATAAAAAATGTAGGTTTTTGAAATTGGGATTGTGTTTGTTAATTAATGTAAAGCAATGGTAACCAAATAATGTTACTATTTGAACGAAGGTACAATTTAAAAAAAATTCTTTCGGAGGTTTTCCCCCCTTACGTGTTAACTTCCAGGTTGTTGTCTATGAAATCTGTAACTGTCGTTTACGAATCTTGTCGAACTTGGGTTTAAAAATCCTTTTTTGATACAAATGGGTTTTTTCGCCTCGAGCTGCTTTACACATGCTGATTTCATGTATGTCTTATAAATAATGGGGAGGGAGTGAATATCTTTATTATCTTTATTAGTTCTTTTGACGGTAATAAATATTGTCATCTGTGACTAAAACATCATTCTGAATTTGATGTTATGTGTACAAAATTTCATCCGAATTGACCAAATGTATCGCCCTCGTTTGTTCCTACGCTATGTTATGAGTAGGGTGGAGAAATGTACTGCTTGAAACTGAGCCAAGTAACTTTCATTTCCAGTTCCAGATACGGATGTTCTTCAAGGATACCGAGTTTCCTTTTCTCTTTATATACGTAATTGTGATTGTTTATCCATGTATTTCTGCTATTAACCTCGTGAATTTTTTTAAAACTAAAAACGTATAATGCTTCAGATAAGATATGCTTCTGCGGTTTATAACGATCGAAGGCTTATGTTAAAAGTGATACAAAATTTGGAAAAATACTAAATGAAATAGTGTGTTAGACTCGTTCTAACCTAATATAACCTTTGTTTGGTAGAAGCATTTAAGGGGTCTGAATTTACGAGTTGTATCTTTTAAATACAATAAATGAAGTTCTTATCAAGAAAAATTTAGTTGCATGATTGTGTTTCTGTGATAACTTTCTAAGCATATAAATATTGAATCAAAAGTAGGGAACGGTACACCAATTAAGTGAGTAAAGTAGTTAAGCAACTCTAACCTCCAGAAACATTAAGAAATTACTGGTGAAGTTTTAGATTTTTTTAAATGGCAGTCTGTTTCTAGTGTTTGTGAAGTGCAACGAAGGTTTACGTTTCTGTGCACTATATGTAACCTAATTTTCGTTTCTGTTGCAACAAACCCCCCTTTTTCATTCATAAGCCTCTTTTTTATATTTTCAGATTGCGTAGGCAATATAAAATTGTTTCTTAAAAGGAAGTCGTATTATTTACTGAGCATTTTAATGGGTATTTTAGTAAAATTCCCTCCTCCCCATTTTTTTTCCCATTTTGACAAGGGGACAATATAAAGAGCATGTTTTTCGTCATAGAAACACGAACCTCATTCGGTGCAAAAACAGTACAAAATTGAAGGCATTCTGAAAGAGAATTAACTTATCTACCGTATTCTTCTGATTTAGTATCGTCAGATCACCATCTTTTTCGAAGCCTTCAGACCAACCTTAATAGAGAAGCCTTGAATTCTGAATATGATACCCGAAGAGAATTTAGTTCACTCTTTGGACTAAAACTACTGTCAGTGTATTAAAAAAATTGAGATGTGGAGAAGTTGTGGTATTAGTGCATTAACTGCTACCAGGAACTTAATTTGACGCTAAAATATGGCTGTAATTTTCCCTTGAAAATCTGTTTCCTTAACTCAGTCTACTTTTCTTGAACAACTTTGCTGAAAACCTGCTGAGCACGTTTCAGCAAAATCGGTGAATTCCAACCAGTGGGCCAAGTGGTTAAGACCGATGAATACTGGTAGTTCGATGTGGGTTCGAATCCAAGTAAAAGTGCTGGCTGCATGCTAATTTTCTTGGTTTTTCCCGTGTAAGTCAGGAAGGATTAACTTCCATATTAAATTCATAAGCTTTAATTTTTTCCTGAGTTCCTCCCCCTAGTGCTCTTTGTAACATTACCATTTTTATTGTTTCGTGCTACAGTTTCATATCCTGTGCAGTGCTCTTAATTTTTTTCCTTTGTATTTATCTGTTAATTTTTTTTTCCTTTGTATTTTCATGCAAATTCATAAAATTTCAGTTTCTGAGAAATCTGTGATTTCATGCATGTAAAGATAATTTTGGGCTTGAGTTATTTCGAAGGATGGCAGAAACAGACACGATTCTTTTTTCAGCACGTTATACAAAAATGGCAAAACGGTTCAAGTGTCACTAATGAGAATAGAGAGAATGCTAGAAATAGTGTGAAAGTATGGAAGAAACATTTAACGGAGATGTGTAAATATGAAAACAAAGTAAGAAGAGTCCATTACTTTCTGACCACATTCCCCGCCTGTATAATTCTAGTTGTCAAGCAGAATGGGGCAGGGGAAAACATTTTGCACGAATTCAAGGATTGGTCTGTAAAATGACAAGTTTTTCCTCCGTATTTGGTTACCTCTTTCCAACAAGTCTGCAGGTTGTTTTCTGTTGGAAGTGTCTAGCATTGGATGTACATGTACCAGGGTTATCGCTTTTACTATCTGGAACGAAAAAGTTACTTTTCCTTTTAGTTCATTGTACTTTCTAGAGAATATATATATTTTTTACATATATATATATCGATGTAGTGGTTAGTGATCTGACTGCCGTAGCGATGGTCTCGGGTTCCAATCTTGGAGAAGGCATGGTTGTAATTATCTGTCCCTTCATAGGAGGCAACGGTGGTCCCCTAGTAGTGGCTTCCCGGAAGTGGCGGTTCATTATGGAAGCAACTAATAGGTGGACACCGTTGCCTCCTATGAAAGGACGGATAATTACAACCATACCTTCTCCGGGATTCGAACCCGGGCCCATCGCTACGGCAATCGGGATCACTATATCGGCTGGACGCCACATCTTAGAGAATAAGCGTTTAGCATGTGGGTAGGGATTTTCTTCCTTTATAAGTCTTAGTCTCCTTCAAAGAGTTTGATTCCCAGTGAAAGGCAGACATACATTCACAAGTTAGAGATCAAAAGAAATTTGCTGAAATTGTGTTTCAGTTACTTAAAAGAACTGAAACTCTCTTGTTCAGGGCTACGCTGCGCTCCGGCTAAAATTATGATTTATAATAAAAACTGCGAAGAACTGGAACCGAGCAATTTAATCTCTGGCCTTACTATTTATTTGTTGTTGCAAGAAAATTAATATCAATAAAATTTTGGCACAGTTGGATATAATGGATTAAGTTGCCATAGCTCGGAACTATTTAACCTTTTTAATTTTACATTACCAAAAGGGTAATTCATATCAAAACCTTTGCCAAAGTTATCTTGGCCCTCACAAAGTTTCCGGTAGTGGTTAGTGCGTAATTGTTTATTAGTTAATGCATGATGTAATAAATTACCTTAAAAAGTGCTACTAGTAACATATATTCAGTATTTAATCTCCATTTTTTAATTTTATACTGCTTTGAGACACATTTTGTTGTAAAGTTTTCATAACTGTTGATGATTTTTTTAATGCAAATATTTATTTATAAAATTTTCTCCTTCAGCAAATCGAATCACATTTGTTGTCATAAGTGAAAAGAAAGGTGAACAGATTGCTGCTCTTGTGGACAATGGAACACGTGTTATGATGAGAATTGGTATTGGATCCCATGGTGTATTTCGTTTTGGCCAGATCAACAAAACATCTGTATTATTTGTCTCTATTTCATTTATCATTCTTATGATTATTTCATTTGCATGGCTTGTGTTTTATTATATTCAGAGATTCCGATATATCCATGCAAAGGAGATACTTTCAGTAAGTACATCATTTTGTAGTTTTTTTTCCTTGCTTAAGGAATGAATAATTTTTTATAAGCTAATTGGATGCTTTTCTGCTAATGGAGCTCCGTTCGCGAAATATGCTTCAAAGCGCAAAATGTATATATCGCATCATGAATAGCTGTGTAATGTATAATACGCCTAATGCAAAGGCTATGCGCGTTGCCGAATTTGGGTAACATCTTGTGTTTTTTGAGCGAAAATAGATAGTTGTGTACATGGGGAGACCTTCGCTTTAAAAAAAAAAAAAAAAAAAAAAAAAAAAAAAAAAAAAAATCATAGAATTGCACAAATTCGGCGTTGTGCGCATTAAATATTATGATACATTGCTGTCATTAAGATTTCCTTTTTTTACCCCTCCAATGAAGCCTTATTTATTGTTAGTGTGGACACCATCTAGTTAGATGTCATGCCAACATTTATGTTTGGCGCTAAGGGATGCCCATTAACGGAAAAGTACCGTTAAGGTTTTTTTAGAAAATTTAATTTACCATAGTGTTTTTAATACATTATTAAAAATTTTTACATATAGAGTTTTGCCTTAAAGTAAATAAATCTAACGTTATGGCTATTATATCAAATATTTTCAAAATTATTGCTTATGCTAAATTGTTTCCTGTTTGTTTTTATGAATATATATCAAAGTGAGTTTTTATGTACCAAGGAAACTAGCTGTAGAAACGCATTGACTTGTAGAAAACAGTGCTTCCCAATCGATTCCTAAATGCCCAAATTAAGTAAAAGTTCACTTAAATATAAAAACATTCATATTAAAGTTTTGTAAATTTGAGTTCAGCTTTATATCTGATCATCTGCCTTCTCATGCATTAATTCTTGATCAAAAAAGCATTTGACACTTTTCTTGAGCAAGCTGAATGAGTTTTACACGTTTTGCATTATTTTCAAAATAGTAAGTTTTACAGAAATTGTAATTTGAATAATGAAGTAACTTTTTTTTGGCTTTTGTACTTTTATAAATTTAATTACCAGTTTTGTGTTGCATTCAGGATGTGGCATAGCAGAACCTTGTTTATAAAATTCGATTGTGTTAATATTCAGACAGTATAATATAACAAAGAGTCTTTTAGCTTCTCTATACAGGGGGAAAAAGGGGGTAAAGAGAAGTTATTTTATTGCATCAAACATAAGCACATATCACCATGACGATCTTCGCAAAAGATCCAGATAAAAGCCACATAGTCTTTTGCATCAGGATGAATTAGTGGTGCTAATTGGTAGATGAAACTTATTGTTGAAATGTAGAGTTTAAAATAAATGTTGAATTTTTCGTGGTAAGTCACATTTTTATAGTTTATAAATAATATTTTAAATAATGTTAATGTAAATTATATAATATTTTGATTAATTTATTGTTTTAATTTGTGTTTTTTTAATTATGATTAATATTCCTTTTCTTTAAACTTAGTATTGCAAATCTGCATAAAAGTTAAATATAAATGTATTAATATTGAAATTATTGAAAATGAAAATATTTTATTTAAAAAATAGCAATATATAATCACACAAATAAAATCATTGAGTAGAACTTGAAAAAATGAGGACACAGAAAATTAGCAGATATTTTCAAACATTGAAAAATCAAATTAAAATGTTATAGTTATAGCAATTTTTAAGGTTTCTCTTAATGTGATTGGATTGGATAATTTTTATGCCACCTTTGACATAAACTTCACTTTTATCAACTTTTACGTTACACTAGAAACTACACTTTTATCAACAGAAGAATGAAAAAATTCATTTCATGCTTTAAAAAAAAAAAAAAAAAAAAAAAAAAAAAAGAGAGAGAACTTTTTTTTTTTTTATTTGATCAACGTAATGTACACTTTTTTAAGAACCTTTTTGTTGTTCAAATTTCTGTTCATTGTAGACTATACTTGCGAGGGGACAATAAACATATTCTATTTAGCAATAACCTTTCTTAAATTCCTATTTTGCAAAAATTTAGTAGGCAATTGCTTGGCTACTTTTTAAAAATTTCGCTTTAGTTTTCACCATTGTATCTTATATATATTAGTACTCAGCAGCTGATATAACTTAATATTTGCCATAACAGATTTGTTTACATTGTCATTGTGTTGTTACAATTTTATTTCTTTTTATTTTAGCAATACTGGGGCATTTTTGCATTATCTTGAAATTTTTATTTTTACAATAGATGCAATGCATGCAACACCATTTTTTTAAAAATTTCCTCTGTGGTTTTCTATTTTTTAAAATTTGCATATAAAATTTATATTCCATCATTCATTTTTATTCAGTAAAAATTCTCTAAAAAGAAATCATCACTTTGCTTTGAAACTGAGACTTTTTCTATATATTTACTCATCTTACCTATGTGTACTTATTAATTGTAAAATGTAAAATACATATTTTCTGTTGTGTCAGGTCAGGCTATATCTTTGTTAATGTTTAAAAAGTTATTTACGTAGGAATTTTTAATTCATTCATTTGTTTGCTTTTCCTTTATTGCAGTCCATTCAAAAAATGTGACTCTGTTGATAAATTGTTTTAGTTGATACTCGATAAAGACCAAAAAACTGTGAGCTTCTTTTATGTAATAGTTTTGTTTTAATTTACATTCTCTTTCAGGATTGATTTCCAGGTTTATGCTTTTTGCTGTTTGATTTTTTTCCCTTTATGCTGTGTAGCTTGTGATTTTTAAGATTAATAGTCCACTTATAGACATCAACTATTAGACTTCAATTCATTACTATTCCATGCTACTTGCTTACAGCTTATTCTGAATACACCATTTCATTTTATACACATATATGTTTTCAATACTATACTATCTTGATGTGTAGTTTCTTTCAATGTTAAATTAACAATAATGTTAAATTAGTATCCAGAAATACACTTAAATTTTAAATATTTAATGTATTGACTATTATATGCTTGTCAGCCTCATACTGAATAAGAAGTTACTTTTTGGGATCATGAAGAATAATTATTCAGAACTGTAAAAAAGAAAGACAGGAAACTAAAAATTAATTCAAAAATAATATGCTGTATAGTATAGCTTAGAAACAGTGCAGCTTTAAAATTTTGTTAAATGTTTAATGCAAGGAATACTGCATACAACACTGCAAATTGAACAAAAATTGCTGTAAGAAATAGCGCAACAGATTGTTCCATATCTTCTGATGTTTTCAGTTAGGGACCCTTTAGTTTAGAGCTTTCATCATTAATCAGTACATATCTCATGATTACAGTACATATCTCATGATTTTAATTTTTCCAGAACTTTGCATTATGAAAATACTAATTTAATAATGTTCTTTAACATCCCATATATATCTCAAATTGTAAAAATTATGTATTTTTCCATGTTATGGAATTGATTTTAAATAACTAATCCTTAATATTTTTCCAAATTCTTTTTAGAGACGCCTCTGTAGTGCCGCAAAGAAAGCACTGGATAAAATCCCTGTTAAGACTGTGAAAACAGATGATTCTGTAAGTAGTCTTTTTTTTTTTTTTTTTTTTTTTAAGAATACATATATATATATATATATACGCATATATTATGTAGTCTTTTGAATTATATGTTATATATATTTCAGGTAATTTCCCATGTGTCTTGTTAAGAATTTAAGCATCTGTATTTAAAATCTAAATTCTGTAGAACCTTTTAGTTTAGGAGGACACTGAACATATTTTAGAAGCATTCAAATTAGATTCGGGGAATTATGCATAAATAATTTTGATTCAAATATATGGTTAAGCTGAGACGAGGGATAGTAAATATTGCTGTGCATTTGAAGAGTATGTGGAGGACTCCTAAATAGCAGAAAAATCCAAAAAGTGTTGCTACCAGCTTTCTATTGTTGTCCATTAGGCATGAATTTGTGATTGGACAGGGCAGTTGTTCTCTGGCAGCCATTGGTGAAGCATCAAAGTAACTTCACTCATGTTGCATGATACTAGTTGATTTTCAAACTAGCATACTTGCTACCACTCCCTCTATGAATTCCTTCTATGATTCTTCTTTGATTATGTTGAATGACTTGCATGTGACGTTTGTCTTGTTATTTTTGTTATATGTGCTAGGCTAATGTATCTTTCTAATCTAATTGAAGTAATAGATGCAAAACTAGGCATATCTTTAACCTTGAATTAACACGTCTCTATGGAATGGTGACTTTAATCTCGATTAAGGTCAGATATGACATTAGTGAACTGGATTCTCCAACCACCTGATGAAAATCTACTTGCATCTTCAGTTTTCTTGCCTAAAATGTGCTGCAAACTGTAAAAACCATCTTCTAAATAGAATTAACATTTGAATCTATTGAATGTTTTCACATCTTCTGTGAAATTGTGCTCCAAATGGTAGTGCATGCTTCTTCAAAATATGCCTACAAAGGATTCGAAAAACATGCTCCATGCAATAAGGAAAAAAGTGTTCATTATCTTTTAAGTGCATATATATATATCATAGATTTGCATATAAAATCTACAACATGAGCTATATATATAAAAAAAAGTTTTTTTTTTCTAATGCTGAATCCGCCACTGACCGAACTGATATTTCTCTTATAATTTCTAAGTAAACCACACCAATTTTTACTTATCATCACTCTAAACTAAAAGCTTATCTCTAGAAAGCATACATTCAGAATTTTTTTCTTTTTAATGCTGCATATATCTAAACTTACCTAAATGTTTGGTTTGCACATCTTGTATACTATGTTTGCACATTGGTCTTATAATATTCGTAACTTATGTTTGCATTAGCTTTATTTGCTTCACTTGCACTTGTATCGTGTTATGTGAATTTATTAGTAATTAATCATTGAATATTTACTTTTCTTGTTTTGATATTTTTTAAATTATAAATGAACAAAGACAAGATTAATGTCTCGTGTTTCTGTCAAGCCACCCCCATTTTGGAAAGTAAACACCACTTTGTGGTTGGCTGAACTATAGGCTCAGTTTGACATTGCCAAAATTACTCTCGATTCACAAAATTAAGCCACATGCTATCTGCAACTGAATCTGATATCCTTAATAGCATTTATATTGTTTAATGACTTCCATTAACTGGCGAATATGATACCTTAAAAGCACATTTAATTGAGTTGCATTCTGAGAGTCAGGAGTCAAAAATCTGTACTCTACTTCAAGTACTACAATCTGTACTACTACTTGGATCTGTACTACTACTTGGCAATTGCTTTCCTTATGCAAAATTTCATGGGAGAGACTTGGAGAACTTTTACTAAAATCCCTGCTGCCATTGCACCTGCCTGTCTCCTAGAACAGCAAACTATGCAGCTGATGAAGCAAGTAAATGAACTCTTGCTAGCCGTTAAAAAAACAGAAATTCTCCCTTTAATGTCTTTTTCAAAACGACACAAGACACAGTAGGTCCAATTCACGCTGTTAACAGTATAAGGAGCCGATCTAACATTTGCTTCTGTCACACCAACTGTGGTTCCAGGACATGAAAATTTGTTTCTCTGCAATTTGTCACAGTTGGAAAAGTGGATTGGCAATTGCCTGGCAGCTGCCAAATTAATTGAATTCCTCTGGCCGACCCATCATCAGTCCTACTGTCAGTATGCAGAGAGTCTTTATTCATTATTTCTCTTTGCCACTAATGGCACCACTTTTGAGCATCAATTTAAAACTGTATTGCTGGTCTTTTGTTATTGCAAATGTCAGTGAATCCATCATAGGTGTTGACTTTCTTACAAAATTTAACTTACTTATTGATGGCAATCATTTAATTGTTGAACAGACAAGATTATATTCTTGTGACTGACTACCCAATAGTAATCTGCTCAGTACCAACATTTATATTCTGGTCAGTAACAAAAAATTCTTGGTAATTACCCTGCATTGATGAACCGTTTGGAATTTTTGATAGGAAACAAACTTGAACAGTTTTCCATCACACCTGAAACTAAAGATTCTCTTATTTTCTCAAAAGATGGAAGATTATCTGCTGAATGACTTTAGAGTGCAAATCAAAAGTTTGCATCTCATGAAAGGCATCATTCAGCCTTCAAAAGTCCTTGAGCAATTTCTCTGTATATGGTTTGGAAAGTAAATAGTGATTTGAGCCTTTGCGGTGATTATCAGCACTTAAATGCAGTCACAATACCCGATCAGTACCTTCATTCAAGACTGCACTCAACTATTTTCGGGAAAAAGCATATTTTCAACACTTGATTTAACCTGCAAGTGTTAACCCTGATGACATAGGAAAAACAGCTGTGACCACTCCTGGTTTTTTTGACCAGAAGCCATGCCATTTGGTTTTTGGTCATGCCATTTGATTTACCTAATTCAGGCCAGACCTTCTAAGGCTTTGTACACAAAGTTTTATTTGGATTGGATTTTTGCATCCCATGTTTTGACAGCTGATTGCATCAGCTAACAAAAACAAACATGACAGTACTGTCCATCAAGTATTCTGTCCTTTAAATAAACATAGTTTTACTTTAAACCCTAACAGATGCATACTCTTAAAACTATCTCTTTCCTTCTTAGGTTGCCTTATCACTGCCTCATGTGTAAAATCCCTGTCTGAGAAAGGAAAAAAATTCACTGATCTCTCCAAACCCACCACTATACTTAGATGCTTTTCAGCTATAATTAACTTCTGTCATAGCTCTTACCAAAAGCAGCTGGGATTCAAGCTCTGTTGCATGATCTCTTAAAAGATTAAAAAAGAAATTATAAATGCCCCATTCCATGGAGTGACCAACTTAAAAAGGCATTTAAAAATGTAAGCATGACCTTATTATTAACACTGCATCTCAGTCAAAAGCTCCTGGTCAAAAGATGTATATTATGGTCAGTGGTTCTGACACTTCCATCTGATCTGCCTTAAATGTTCAATACGCTAACTTCTACTAGGCATTAGTGTTTTTCTTTGAAAAGCTCTCTCCCACTGAACGAAAGTATAGCATGTATGACAGACAGTTACTTTCCATTTATACAGCTATAAAATATTATAATCTCGAGGTTCAATATTTCACTATATTTACTGACATCAACCACTAGCTTATGCATTGACATCAAAATCAAATTCTGCTTTACCATGGAAAATTAAGCATTTCAATTACATAGCTTAGTTCAGCATGGTCATCCAGCATATATCTGTCTCCAAAAATGTTGTGGTAGATACTCTGTTCTGCTTTCAAAACCCCATTGATGCAAATTCGCTATTGGATTTCACTTTTATTACTCACTCTCAAGCCACAGATGATGGGGTGAAAAGCCTAAATGAAGACTCAACCTGTTCATTGAAATTCCAGTCATTTCAGCTTACTCCAGACCTCAAAATAGTCTAACACTTCTAATAACAATCTTCGGCCTTGCTTACCACTTGGTTTGAGAAAAAAAGTTTCTGACTCTTTCCACAGTCTATTGCATTCAGGCTTCCAGAAAACTCTTGCAAGAAAGATTTGTATGGCCATCCATGCTGAAAGGACATTTGCATTTGGACTCACTCCTGAATCAAAGGCCAACATTCCAAAATCACCTGGCACACACACACACACACAAACACAGTCCTTTGCAAAAAATCAACACGCCATTTGATGTATGTTCATATAGACATCACCGGTCCTCTACTTCCATAGGGTTACCTATACCTGCTCACCTGTGTTGACAGATTTACTTGATGGTCTGGAGCTTTTCCCATACAAGGCGGCTCTGCTGAATCTGTGGCTTAACAATTCATCTGCATTGAATTGCATGAATTGGTGTACCATCAGTCATAAGTGGTCAAGGTTGACAATTCTAGTGTCACCTTTTCTCTTGTCTAGCATCTCTGCTTGAGTATGCTGAATTCACACTTTGCTGTATTATCCTTCCACAAGTGGCTTGGTGGAGCATTTTCACCATGACCTAAAAGCAGCCCTAAGTTGTCATAATACTTGTTGGACTACATCACTTTCTATTGTGTTTCTTAGTCTACATTCTTCCTTCAAGCAAGACCTCCAGTGTACATCCGCCAAACTTGTTTACACCATGAGCTTTGACTAGTATCTGAGTTCTTTCAACAATCCTCTGCTTCAATTTGAACCATCCTCCTTCCTCCAGATTTTCTGAGAAGTTAAAAAAATGCTGGTTCACTCCTACATCATGCCACAACACAGCAATCTTGTCCATGCATCCTGCACTGGTTACTTGCACTCATGTGTTCATGCATAACAACATAGTAAAACCTCGGCCCACTTCACCATACAAGGGTCTCTTCAGGGTCTCTCCATGTAGCAACAAACATTTCACCGTTCTCAAGCATGGCAAGAAAACTGTACTAAGAATCTATCAATTGAAACCTGCAATCTTCAAAGGTTTGAATTCTCTGATATCTGTGATCAGTGATTGTTCTGCTTCTTTAGATCCCTCTGCTTCTCCAAATCCTCCTGCTTTGCTCGATCTTCTGATTCCTCCCAGGGCTCTACTGGTCGTCACATGCTCAGGAAGATGTGTCTGCT